AGAAAAGAGGAGAATGGCTACCAGGCCACCGATCAGCATCTTTTGGTACACCCAGATTGGTCTTGCTTTTGGGGGTCCCACCCTTCCCTGGCATACCTGCCGTTGGACCACGAGAAGGCCATTTGCTGTTGGGCTGTCAGTGCTAGGGAGAGCCATGCTAGTGGGTTGGGATCTAAGCGGAGGTGGGTGGACCAGTGTCTGTGAGCTGTGGCTAGTCAATTTACTCATCAGGGTAACCTCTGCCAGGATTCTGAATTGAGGTGATCTGCATTGTCTGTCTCACAGTCTCTAAGTTTAGTAAAAGCAACAGTGAGAATGCTTGTCTCCCCTTCTGGCTCATTATAAAGACCTTAGTCACAGTGTAACCTAGAGGATTCCTCTCTTGGGCAAACATCTCCCCCTTTCCCCATGACACGTGAGTGGAGCTCGTGCTCTTGACTTGAGCTAGTGGTTTGACCACACACGGAGTGTGCTCCTAACGGCCCTGGAGGCAAGGAGCGGGGTCGGAACTCACAGTGGGAGTTATGCGGGTGCAGGTGAAGGTGATCTACCCAGAGTGTAGAAGTTCAGCTTCTGGCAACTGGTCCTGCACTTGCTTGTGTGGCAGTCCTTTTAGATGCACATCAAGGCTTTGGGATGTGAAGACTTGCAGTGGTGGGGAATGAACCAGAAATATTAAATACCACAGTCCACCAGGTGCAGTCTTTCATAATTGTCCAGTACATTTTTAGAAATTTTAAAGTAATGATAGTGTCAATGGAGAAAACCTGAAAAGCAGAGAATAAAGGGGGAAATTTTCACCCATGAGTTCTGCTCGAGGATGGAGGCTTCTGGTATGTTGTTCCAGCCATCTTCCCCATTTCTTTCCTTTTCTCCCTCCTTTCCTCTCTTCCTTTTTTAAATAAGGAAGTGATTCAAGTATAAGTAAAAGATTCACCCTGTAGACTCAACTGATATTCATATTTTCTTCAGAATTTTTTCTTGCTAAGATATAAGATGTCAGTGGCCCCCATGTATAGCATGTATAGCATCCTCTCTGCCCAGAGGAAACCACTAATCTGAAGTTGGTGTATATTTTTCCAACCCATTATCAGTTTCCTGCATATCTATGGAAAACATATAGTAGTGATTTTTGCATTTTAAGATGTGATGTAATTGACGTCACACTATTTATTATGTAACTTGCTTTTATTTACTGTCCATCATTGTGTTTCTGATTCCACCTTGTTTCATGTAGATGGAATTCAGCCATTTGAGCCGTGACAGCAATCTATCATTTGAACACCCACCCCCCTACCTCCCCGTTTCCTTCTAGTAATGGGTTTATACAGTTGTTGTTACTAGGGGCAGTGCTGCCCTAAGCATTCTAGCACATGGCTGTCTTTGCATTATGTGGGAGTTCCCGAGGCCGTTGTCTAACAGTGGGAGGGCTGGGACGCCTGGGTGGCTCAGCCTTCGGCTCAGGTCATTGTCCCAGTGTCCTGGGATCGAGCGCATCGGGCTCTCTGCTCAGTGGGGAGCCTGCTTCTCCCTCTCCCCTTGCCTGCCATTCTGCCTACTTGTGTTCTCTCTATCTCTTTCTCTCTCTCTCTCAAATAAATAAATAAAATCTTTTAAAAAATAAAATAAAATAAAAGTAGGAGGGCTGATTTGAAGGGTAGTTTCAAGTGCAGTGCCCAGGATATCTTAAACCTCATTGTACCAGCTCTACTCCACTGACACAACATCCTTGCCGGTGAGGTTTGTGCCGATCTGATGAGTGTGAATTGGAATCTTGTTCTATTGCGCCCTGATGACCAGCGAGGTTGAGGATTCTTTCATATTAACATGTTGTGGCTCCAAATCCAGGAGCTTTGTGCGTATGTATCTTTTTTTTTTTTTCCCCAGGGGACTCTTTCCTTTCTATATCCTGGATAGTATTTCTATCGTCTGCATGGCAAATATTTTCTCCCGGCCTGGCGCGTGTCTTTAAACGTTGCTTATGTGTTTCTTATTGCACCGAAGTTTTACATTTTAGTGTGGTGAAGTGTAGCAGTATTTTCCTTTATAAGTGACGGTTTGTAAGTTTGATTTAATAGTCTTTCCCTAAGGCATGACCATGCAGATGGTCTGCATTTTCCCCCAAATGTTTGGCTTTCAAACGTGGGCCTATAAACTCTCTGGAAATGATTTTTTTGGTATGGTGCGAGATAGGACTCTTATTATTTTTTTTGTATGTGCATATCCATTTAATCCTAGCATATTTATGGACCATTCCCCCTGCTGATTACAATCCTGCCTTATTGTATTCCAATTTGACACATGTGTGTCAGTGTTATATTATGTGTGTGTGCGTGTGTGTGTAGCTTTATACTTCATTCTGTATGTAATTTATAATATTTGCTTTTCTGCTTAGTTTTATTTCATGTACATTTCCCTATTCAAAACTTGATTAGTGAATATATAATAGCTTGTTGATAGAGGATAATTTGTTTGCTCATTCCCCTATTAAATTTTCCCTGTAATAAATAATATATGAAGAAGGTGTCTTAGAATGCTGATGGGCCAGCAGGATGGGGCTGTACACCTGCCTCTCCAATAGGTCCCTTCCCTTCTCTATGGAGGGTACCCCCGCCCCCTTGCGATTACACATCTCGAGCTGTTTGTCCATGAGTGAGTGTCGTGGTGGTCCCAGAGATGCCCGGACCAGACGTTCCTTCAAGGAAGGACCAGTGGTCTCAGCTGGAGGCAGTGCTGGTCTTGGCCAGTCATCAACTTTCAGCCCCTTCAGAGATAGCCTCTGTTGTTGGAAATGCTTGACCCATGTTCACATCCTTCCAACACAGGCCCTACCATTTCCGCCCAGCCTGAAAGGCTGTCATTGGGCTGCCATCAAAGCTTGACTTCTTCTCTCCAAACCTGCTTCCTTCATATCCCTTTCACAGGTGTTAATGATCCCTAATAAATTTCCTGTGCCCCAAACTCCATCCCAAAAGCTACTTTCCAAAGAACCCAACCTGTGACAGTTGTCCTCTTTGCTTTGAACCAGGACTAAGTCCAGAGTCTCTTACTGCCTAGGTAGATTGTATGGAGGCCAGGATGACTTGGGGGGGGGGAAGGGAAGTGCTCTTAATGAGGTAGATCTCTTGACCCTTACTGGGAGATGGGCCATACGGAGATGAAGAATCCAACAGTTCTTAGAGAATTCCAGTCCAGCTCTGAATGTGGAGAGAAATGGAGACAGGGTGGGAGGGGAGGGACAGCAGATTCTGAAGCACTTCTAATATATTCAGAATGTATTTTAGAAACTAAGCTTCTTTGAGTTACATGCATAATAAAGTTTATTTTCCATTGTGAAAGTAATACATGTTTATAGTAGAACATTTAAATGAGAAAGAAGAAAAACATCCAATTATCATAGGCTCTTTGATACATTATTTTGAATTTGATTGTTTTACATTATTATAAATCACACCATTTATATAATTTTGCTATGACACATTGTTCACTTAATGTGATAACATAAGTTTTTTCCACACTATTGTATCTTTTTATAAACATTATTTTTAATGGCTACGTGACATTACAATCCAATGAATGTACTATGGTTTATTTAACCACGAGATTGACTACTTGGTCTGTTTATAGTCTTCTGCTATTATAAGTGACATGGCAAGAAAGTCTTGGTGTGTAAAATTTTTTTCCAATATTTAGTATTCTTTCCTTGGGATAGATTCCCAGGAGTGGAATGACTGACTGGATAATGGGGTTTGAACATGGGCTTTTGATTTATTTTGTTAGATCGCTTTCCTGAAGGGTAATACTGGTTTTCATGTTCACTTTTTGATATTGAGAAAGGAACAGTTTGTGTAACTTTGTACCTGTCTTGGTGGCCAGAGAGCTAGTGAAGAACCTTGGAGCAAAGGAGAACATGGAACTGGCCTTGTCTGGTTGGGGAGTTGGGGCCTTTTTCAAATGGACATGGTCCAGGCTTCCTCAAGTTCCAACTTTGAATTTCCACTCTATCTCTCATCCGGAATACATGTGGAGCAAGGACCATTACTCCTTTCCTTCTCCTGTATGGGGATTTGAAAAATCTCATAGTAGAGAATGCCCTCCTTGCCCTTGTCTGTTATGCTTGCAGGCCCCTGTAGGTAAACATGGGACCAAGATGGTGCCAACTCCATGGTCAGTGATCAGACCAGGAAGTCTAGAGGGAAAGATATGATATGTAAATTTAAGACTCCAGTTTTGAAGTTTGGGCCCTGGTACTACTTTAAAGATGAAGAACCTACCACTTACTGGAATCCAATATTTAATATTCTAAAAATGATTCAGTTCCAACTTCCAAATGAGTTTAAATCTTAAAATTAAATACAGACTTTCTCTTGGAGGCTGTGGTTTTCAAGGATAGCAAGACTCATTAAGAAACTTTACTTCAGCGATGCCGTGGTGAGAGGCTCTAAATAAACATCCAGATTATTGATTTCGGCCCTCATTTCCTACAAGTATACCAAAGTAGCCTTGTAGTTCTTCTGTCATTAAGATAAGAGATTTGATTTTCCTCCTTATCCTCCACCCAAATTCATTTCACAAGACAAATGGACTTTCAGATACCACAAACACTCAGTTCGACTGAGTTTTCTCTGACTGCTTGGAGAAAATGTAGGCCATGTCTGAGTCACACACATTTTACTGCGTGTCCTCTGGCATGAGAGTCATATACATTGGCGTCTTCTCAGAGTGAAGTTGACTTTCTATCCTGAGTCCAGAATTTCAGTTGGCACGTAGTGATTCCAAAAACAGTTGGAGGCTCATTTTGATTGGCTCTGGCAATCTCATCCCAGCCAGGTTCACTCTGAGAGGTCCCCTGTCCCTTCATGAATGGCCATGGAAGCTTTCACTCTCGGCTGTGCGTTCTAATTGCCCCTCTCGCATGACTGTGCCAAAGCAATGCTTCAAAATAGTCATCCATATCAGTTGGCTTTTCTTGCTGCAGTTTCTGTTCTTTTTTATTGTAGGATCTGGAGACTCACCGCTAGAAGACGATGAAGTCGGGTATTCACACGCTAGATATAAAGGTGAATGCTTTGCTTGTGTGCTAATGAGGGACCTGCTGGTGCCAGGAGAACTTTCCTTTTTGCCTTGCAGAGCAAACTATAATAAAGTGACCAGACAACCAACACATTAAAGTGCGGAATATATTGAAAAATAAATAAGCTTATGCTCCCATTTAAAAAAAATGAAAAGAAAAAAAGAAAAAGCATTTAGAATTTTCTGAAGTGCTGTCCTTCAGCACCCAGTGGTCATTTTATTCTCCTAAGTTTCTTTACTGTCTTTACCTCTGCAAAGCCAAGCTCTAGCTGATGAAAGTGAAAATCAAGCCATGAATTCTGCCTGATTCATACATTACGGCTAGAATGGTCCAGAGTAAACCACCCAAGGTCAGATCTGGACCCCATGCTGCTAATGTACTGAGATGAATGGGGAATGAGAAAACTTGATTTTCATAAGCTCATTTCATGGTGCTCTGAGTCCAGCTTGGCTCCTGAAATGATTAAGTAAAGTGTGTTGTCCAGTGAAGTTTTAAACTCATGATAAAGAACTCCATCTCTACACACATCCGGCCATCCACCCCCCACCAGGTATAAAAAGCCTAATCAAGAAGCTTCTATGCAGGCTCAGGTAAGTATGTCCACAGATGTTTCTACTGGTGAGTCGTTTCTCTGAAACTTAGGGAGCCCTTGGAAAAGGGAAGGTAAATTGAGATTGAGACTGAGGAAGAATTGGTTAATAAAGTTCTGTTGTGGCATCTCGCCCAGGAAACTTGCCCACGGTCTAGCAAGAGAACACTGCCCTGCTCTATGGCGACGTGTCTAAGCTGTGGGAGAGTCAGGGTAGTACTGGTCAGCCTTTGGTCATAGAGAGTCATTTAGCTGTTTTCCACAGACGTAAACAATCTAATATAATGACTGGTGCCTATGTCCAGGTGTATTTCCCACCATATTCCACATTTTCGTATGCTCTGTGAATGCAGGCAGACCCTCATTCTATTTTTTTTAAACATTTTATTTATTTGACAGAGAGAGACACAGTGAGAGAGGGAACACAAGCAGAGGGAGTGGGAGAGGGAGAACCAGGCTCCCCACTGAGCAGGGAGCCCAGTGTGGGGCTTGATCCCAGGACTGTAGGATCATGACCTGAGCCAAAGGCAGACACCTAACAGCTGAGCCACCCAGGTGCCCCCAGACTCCCGTTCTTATACACAACCTCTACATTAATTGCCTCAGGAATTAACCAATCAAGTAAAGGACAAGCTTGTTAATTAGATGTTTGGAGGAAGGAGGTATTGTGATTCCGCATGCTTCTTAATTGGGGATTTTTAAAAAAGATTTTTATTTACTTACTTGAGAGAGAGCTAGCGAGAGAGACCACGAGGAGAGAGGAGGGGCAGAGGGAGAGGGAGAAGCAGACTCCCCAATGAGCAGGGAGCCCAGTGCAGGGCTCCATCCTGGGATCCCGGGATCATGACCTGAGCCGAAGGCAGACGCTTAACCAACTGAGCCACCCAGGCGCCCTAACTGAGGGCTTAAAAATTTTTTGAGTTCCTTGTTGAAAAATCTTCCTAAAACACGTGCATGCACATATGGCCCTTCACTTATACAGTAGAAGTTGTCTAGTGCCCTCGGCTCGTTGTTCCTAATGTTAGCCCTCACCTCACAGCAGTGCAAGTGTGGGAGGTAGACCAGATGGCTAGTGCCTGTCCTAGAGTTTTAGGAATAAAACTGTCTTAGGAAATTGTTTTTATTGTCGGTTTTTTTCAGTTGTTTGTTGTTGTTGTTGTTGTTGTTGTTGTTTAGTAACCTCTATACCCAACCAGGGGCTCGCACTCACAACCCCGAGATCAGGAATCGTAACCTCTTCTGACTGAGCCAGCTAGGCACCCCAGTTTTCTTTTTTTAAGTTTTAATACTTTGATACAAACCATTGTAAACAGAGGGTTTTAGCTCTAGCTCCTCGGGCCCCTGCATGGTGTCTGGCACAGAGCACTTACTCAATAAGTGTTCTTGAGTTAAAGAAAAGAAGAAAGTGAGATGGAATCAACGTTTCTGGTGGCCCCAGAATGTGGCAGGCATTGCTTTTTTGATTCTTTTGCATGGAATGCCATCATATGATCACATTGAGGGAAGGGGGAAGGCATGTGGAATATATATCATTATTTCTTATTCAGATGAAGGAACCACTGATCAGAGAGGGTAGGTGACTTGCCCGAGTCACAGAGCTAGCCATATTGCATTGAGGTTTGAAATCCAGCTGTTTTAACTCAATGGCCAGAGTTTGCTAATGGCTCCTCACTCGTCTGCTGTAAGACACTGTCTATCCCAGGAGCTCCAGTTAACTGGGGTGCTTACCACTTCAGCCTGGGGGCCAAAAAAGCTTTCCCGAATAATCAGTTTAGATTTCTTCCAAAATAAATCCTGTCTTAACGGAAGCAGCATAAGAGCTTTCTTTCGTTGAACCTCTGTGGTAAACATTTTGCTCGTCCACTTCAACTCACGGTGCTTTGGTGCACTTCTGATTCAAGTCACTCACTACCATTTTAATTAGTATTACTGCAGGGCTGTTAAACTGTCAACATATCTTCTAGAGATTTCTCTTGGAAAGCAATCCAAAAGGAATTCCTTTTGTGAGTAAATAAGAACAAGATTTTTTTCCCACATGTTGACAACGGTGCACCATTTGGAGGTACAGTCAACACTTCCGGGAGGATTTGAGGACTCAGAATATGGGACATATTCCTGCAATTTTCAATTGCATTGAAAATATTATCTCGAACTAGATGAACTCGTGATACATGTATACCCAGGTCATCCTCTCCCGGACCTGCCGGCCTTCGATATTTGTCCTGGGTACATGTGTGGAAAAACCAACCATAACACGTGTGCTCAAGGGAAGGTATGCTGCTTCCTGGTAGCTTCTTCGAAAATCGTGTCCCTCCTGAAAAAGTCCAGGAGCTGGAGAATGTGAGTGTTTTCAACGTGTGAGTGAAGGACAGGCTGAAAATTGGACATGCTTCCCGGGTTTCCATCGGTGGAGTTGTGATCAGGACACGGAATGCACAAAGGATTTGCCCTGGGCTGGAAGGGTTACCGGAGTCTACTCCGTTATCAGCCAGAAGAGGGAGGAAGGAGACAGGCATGGGTAGGGGGTCGGCAAGGGGTAAGGCAGAGTTTGAATTCTATAGCTTTAAAGCTGGATGATGGCACTTCGAAAAGAACTTAATCCACTCCTGTCACTTCTAGATGAGGAATCTGATTCCCTGAATGATTGAGCGACTTGTTCAGGGCTGCTAGGAGATGTCAGAGTTGGAACGGATGCCCCCCGGGGCTTTTGCCTCTGCCTGGTCTTGCATGCACCATACCCTGCCAGCTCAGTACGTTTTCCTCCTCCCTCTCTCTGTGTCCCTGGTATTCACCCCTCCCTCACCACCCTTCCCCCACCCCCAGTGGAGGCTTCACTTTCTCTGGAGAGAGAGGCAGGAAGGGGGACCCAGTCAGCAAGAGGAGGAGACTGGGGATGGGGAGCACAGAAGCCTTGCTTGTTCTAGAAGGAGAACAAGACACGCAGGGAAAGTAAGAGGAAACGAGGCAGTGGGGAGGTTAAGGAGGAGGGGTGGGGAAGATAATAAAGAGGTAAAAGGACAGATGATTTTTAAGATTTTTTTAATACCACGGAAGTCCTCTGCTGAACTATAAAAAATGCTTCTCTGAGACCCAAAACAACTGGTGTATATTGGAGTTTCCTTGTAGGTGATCTTGCCTATTACAGTTGGAAAAGAAAGGCAGAGAGAAGGAGAGAGGGAGAGAGAAATATACCCCACTTCCAGTAGTCACAGAAGTCAGTAGGGTCCAGATCTCACTTCTGTTTGAGTAGTAGGCATCTGTGGATTTTTCCAGAATTTATCTTAAGATCTTTTTTAAAAGATTTTATTTATTTATTTGACAGAGAGAGATCACAAGTAGGCAGAGAGGCAGGCAGAGAGAGAGGGGGAAGCAGGCTCCCCGCTGAGTGGAGAGCCCGATGCGGGGCTCGATCCCAGGACCCTGAGATCATGACCTGAGCCGAAGGCAGAGGCTTTAACCCACTGAGCCACCCAGGCACCCCTATCTTAAGATCTTTTGATGACAGAAGAAATATCCACAGCTTGGCATGCTAAGCAAACACACCCCAAGGGCTTCTCATTTACCTGTGATCTTGAAATCTAGTTTCATGGCTTACCTGGAGCCATCACCAAAGAAGGAACCAGGGTATTTAAAACTGGTTCAAGATTCTTTTATACTTAAAGAAAATAATGGAGACATGTATGCTGTTTTGTACTTGACTTTGGGGTCCAGATTGTTCTCGTGTAAAATTGTTAGCACAGACTGTGTGTGTAAAATCCAGAGGAATGAAACTTGGTTCAAGGAAGGTCTGCAGGCCTGCGGCAAGCTCCTGTAAGTCTGCGCCCACAGGGTCGAGCCCACAGGACACGCCTTATGTGCTTGAGTCCTGACTGTAGGCCCCATGTGGCCGCAGTCTGCACAAATATTATAGGATGAAAGTATTAGCCAAAGGAGTTGTGAAAGCGCAAAAGTGAAAAAGCCGTCTGTGCGCAAGCCCTGGGCATGGGACCTGGTCTTCGGGACCGAGAAGCAGTCAGAAACATAACCATCAGAAAATTCCCTGGACAGTCAGACAAGGTGTCCTCCTCTTTAGCCACATGATGGCGCACGCACCCCGCTCACGGACAGCTCAGGGGCCCGAGTGGCGGGAAGAGCCAGGCAGCCGGAGGGAGGGGGGCTCCTACACCTGGCATCCGTGAGACAGCCACCGGCTGGCTTGAAGGAGCTTGGCCCTGGTCCCCATCGATTGTGTGGTGGGCACTGTGGGAACTTGCCCACCGGGGAGCTAGCCTTGCCCTAACAATGTTACAGCTTTCAGCGAGCACCTTCCAAAGGCACCGGAGAGAGGTTCTGATTTATCAGTGTGATCCTATCTGTGCTCTGGGCAACTCCTAGCCCCAAATCAAGTTACCCCGGTATTCTGCCATTTGGGAACTTTGCCATGTTCCTGAAGAGGGGGCGTAACTGGGGACATCTGAAAAGGGGGTTGCTTCCCTATGAGGAGCAAGTGTTCTGTGATTTTAAGCCAAAATTATATCCCACGGCAAAACCCTAGAAATCGCAGCTTCATTCACATGAAGTAAAATAGTATTGTGAGTTTTTACAGAGAATATGCATGCAGATTTGGAAAAACTCTACCCAATTATTGACTCCCTTGCCACTATGCACAGATGGTTGGGGTTAGGATTCGCAATGATACCAGTTGCCCTCCAAAGAATTCTGTTACCTCCTTCAGGGGTAAAGGAAAAGGAGCAAGCATTTATTGAATAAGTGCTACGTGCTGGGTGCTGTGCTAGGTGCTTAATATGCATTAATGGGTTCTGTTTGTTCTTCTTAGTGCCCCTGTGACAGAAGTATAGGTATTGACCCAGAAAGGTTAAGTAACTTGTCCAAGACCACGAAGTTAGTAATGGAAGAACCTGGTCTGTAGTCAGATATGTCTGATGCCTAGTCCTATAATCATAACCTCCCCACCCAGAGACACCTTAAAGACTCCTTTTTAAAAGATTTGATTTATTTATTTATTTATTTATTTATTTGAGAGAGATAGACAGAAAGAGAGAGAGGGAGCATGAGCAGAGGGGCAGAGGGAGAGGGAGAAGCAGGCTCCCTGCTGAGCAGGGAGCCCAGTGTAGGGCTTGATCCCAGGACTCTGGGATCATGACCTGAGCCCAAGGCAGACCCTTCACCAACTGAGCCACCCAGGTGTCCCCACCTTAAACACTCCTTAAAAGATTCCAAAACCTGGGGCAAAGCCAGCCAGGGACTTGGAGAAAGAGGAGACCTATTTTCTAAAGTTGTGCTGTCCTATCTCTCCCCACCTTTGTTTCTGCCACCTGCAGATACCCCATGGTGCTCCCCCATCAAGGTGAAGTATGGGGATGTGTACTGCAGGGCCCCTCAAGGAGGATACTACAAAACAGCCCTGGGGACTAGGTGTGACATTCGCTGCCGGAAGGGCTACGAGCTGCACGGCTCTCCCCAGCTGGTGTGCCAGTCGAACAAGCGGTGGTCCGACAAGGTCATCTGCAAGCGTGAGTAGCCCGGCCCAATCAGGACCGAAGTTCTTGTATTCTGAGATTAGGGATTTTTTGTTTCTGTTTTGTTTTGTTTTTGTTTTTTCTTAAAAAACTGAAGGTTACATGGTCTCTGATAAGAAAAACTCCCTCTGGTGGACAGACACCAGTGGCTTTAGAAGATGTGGTTGGAAGAGTGATGACACCTTTCAGACTGGAGAGTGTGATGGACTGTTTGGGCAATGGGGGCGAGTACAGAGGTTGTGTTTGTTCAGGACATGCTAGCCAGTCCCTGGAAGTGTGCTGGGGATCTAGAAACAAGACACACACAGGCTCTGCCGTCAAAGGTCTCAGAGTAGCAGCAGAGAGCAGGCGAGAGGTGCACATCGCATCAGAAGCACCAGGAGAGGGAGAAGTCACCGACTTGTGACCCTAGGGACAGTCTGTAAGTGTTCTCCCGAGGGATGGAGCTTCGGGAGGCAGGGCGAGTGACTGCAGAACACTATCCTGGGAAAGCAACTGTGCCTCGGGGGAGAAGGAAGACTGGGAGAGCATTTCAGGTGCTGACTTCCAGCTTGAGGAAAAATCACCTCTCATTCGGGCCACTCCAAGAGGCCCAGCATTGTTGAAGCACCTATGAGATGCCATTGTGATTCAAAACAGACACCATTTATTGAGCACCTATTGTATGCCAAGCATCTGCCCTGTGTCCAGTTTTTGCAACAAGTCTACTGATCGGGTGCCGATATTACAGCCATGTGTCCTAGCCCACGTGCACTATGCACCACAGTAACCGTGAATATATAGTAGGCTCTGAGGCCCTGCTCCTACAGGACTGGGCCTTTTTTGAGGCAGAGAGAGAGCATCCCCACTGGGCCCCTAGCTGCCCAGGACTGACTGGTAAAGGATTAGGGAAGCCCAGTTTCCTTGCCTGGAGGCAGGCCAAACTCTGGGACTTGCCCTGCCGGGGCACCTTCCCTCCCCTGTCCTACCTTCTTCATCCCTCACTGGTTTCCCTTGGGAGCCCTTTCTAACTAAATCACTCGCACACAAATCTACATCTCAGGGTCTGCTTCTGGGGAACCCAACCTAAAACAGTGGCTCAGCTGAGATGCCAAGCCAAGCAGGTCCCATAGGAAACAGTGGGCCCCTTCTGTGTGGCACGCGGCCACCCCTTTCTTTCTCGGATTCTATCCATTGTCTTTCAGTTGACTTGGCACTCGCTGTGTTTTCAGCATTTCTGGAGTCTGAAAGACTACGGACAAAAACTAAGAAGTGCTGAGTATCCGGTTTTCTCTTTTTCAGAAAAGCGATGTCCCATCCTGGCCATGCCGGCAAATGGAGGGTTTAAGTGCATAGACGGTGCCTACTTTAACTCCCGGTGTGAGTACTACTGCTCACCAGGGTACACGTTGAAAGGGGAGCGGACAGTCACGTGTATGGACAACAAGGCCTGGAGTGGCCGCCCAGCCTCCTGTGTTGGTAAGAAAATACCAGTCTTCAGGGGGCACATACTTTGGGAGGAGCAAGGTGTGTGTGCATGTGTAGTGGATTTTAAAGGAAATGTCAGCAGCCCGGATGACCCAGCTTTGATTTCTGAAGCTCTCTTCCTCCCTACTTCTCAGGCTTTTAGCCCAGACCTAACATCTGTAACTTGTAGCGGACCTGATAGCCCATGGCTTCGTCCGACTTTTGTTTCTTTCTCGGTTCGCTAACGAGGCCTCTGCAGACTGGCAGAGGGCTGCCTCTGTCCAGGGGATCTGCCTGTGGCACTGAGCAGAGTCATTGACATTTGCCAGACCGCCCCGCAGAGAACACCTGTGTGCCTTTCAGCTGACAGCCAGAGTTCATTTGTTGTCGATGATTGTGGTCAGCAAGCACTCCGTGTGCTAAGCTGGGATTTGGAAATGTTACCTGACTCAGGGTTTGTTGAGAAATGGTTCCTACGGTGTGGTCCTGGGAGCCTGCAGCAGCCTTGAGAACTCTTTAGAAATACAAATTCTTGGCCTCATTACAGATCTGCTGAATCAGAGGCTCTGGGGATGGGGCCCAGCACTGTGTGCTTTAAGGAGTACCCCACCCCCACGCATTCTGGGCATTCTGAAAGGGCTTCAAGAGAGCCACTGATAGAAGACAGTACTTCTCAAACTTTAAGGTGCATCAAATCACCTGGAAACATTGGTGAAAATGCAGATTCAGCAGGTCCGAAGTGGGGTCTAGCAACTGGCATTTTCTCAGGCCCTCCAGGGGATTCTGATGCTCTGCACTTGACAGCCTGCCTTAGAATATCAAATTTGGGCAGAACTTTAATACCTTTATTCTCCAAATTGTGCCCTTGGACCAGCAGCATTAGCACCAGCAGGAAGCTTATTAGAAATGTCGCATGGTGTGACCCATCCCAAACCTGGCAGATCAAAATCCACATTTTAATAAGCTCCCCGGGGGATTCCTATGCCCTTTACACACTGAGGGAGACTGCTCTAGGACAGTGGTTTTCAACTCCGGCTTCTATTTAAATCTGAGTCACTGGGGCTCTGGTATTTTTCCAAACCTCCCTCCACGTGGTTGAGAACCACCATGCCAGAGGACCGTTTACTCATCAACTTTTAGAGCTGCCAGGACCCAGCCTTCCAGAACATTCTACTCCCTTCCTCTAGTCTACAGATGAAGGCTGAGAGGTCACCTGTCCTACTCAAGGTTGCATAGAACCAAGCCTGTGGCTCCAGGCTCTCAGGCCCAAAGTCCCTGAATCCAGAGACTGCTCTGGCACTAAGCTAAGGCCATAGGCCCTACGAGGCTGGCTCCTGTGCTGTTGGGATCTGACCATCCTCCTGAGAACCGGTCGGCTCAGTCTGCCCATGTGCTTTACCCCAAGGACTCCTTTCTGACTGCTCATTGTCTGGGGGCATATGCTTTGGGGCGGGGGGAGACTGAAATTGGATGCCTCCTGGGGGCAGAAGTACAACAGCAACTCCTCTAGGTCGGTCCCAGGGGTGTCGTTGTGAGAGCGCTGCTGTCCGCGGTCCTCCCTGGCAGCCTTTTTCACTCTGCAGTTACGTGGGGACAGAGCTGTAGCCAAGGGACCTTGCCCAAGGTGTGACAGAAAACCCCGTTCTGTCCGAGCCACAGCCTGGACGGCACCTAGTATCCGTTTGACGTGAGCAACCCGTCCAAAGAAACTCCGATGCTGACTCAGGTTTACTCAAGGCTTCTCTCTTTCTAGGACGTAGGTAGGAGTTTGTCTTGGTGGGTAATTGGGAAAACAGACACCACACTAGGTACTCCAAACAGAAGAGAATTTCCTATAGAGAATGGGTTAAAAAAAAATCTGAAAAGAGCCAGAGGAACAAAAGAGGAAAAACACTATTACCCGAGATGAGTTATAGCAGAAAGCTGTGCCAACCGAGGGCTGGAGGAACAAACATTGGCCGATGGCTCAGGAGCCCAGGAAGCCCTCTCAGAAGCTCCCATCAGAAGCATAATGGCCTTCCGTTCCCAGGATGGTGCCTCCTGTGGGCAAACCTGCCTGGCGCCCAGCTGGCAGGAGGAGTCTGGGAAATAGAATTTTGAGACTTTCAGTGCGGGCAGGAACAGGGAGATTATAGAAAACCTAAACACCAAGGGATTATTGGCCTCAGTAACTTTTTCTCTGAGGCTTTTGGCCCCTGGCCTGGACTCACCATAGTTCTCAGTGGGCAGAGGGCCACACAGTCCTACTCATGCAGCGCAGGGGGAATGGTGGTGAGGGCGTGTGCCTCTGGGAGAATGGGACCCAAGGCCAGAGGTTCGGGTCAAGGGCCCCTCACAGATGTCACTTTCAGTGTCTCCCCCGTGACTTGGTGTGTGTGCAAGCTAGCGCCTCAGAACCACCACTCAGATTTTCTCAGTGTGGGAAAGGGCAGAGGTGGACGGGAGGAGAGGAGATGCTTGAGAATCTTTCTGGAGGCAAGCGTTGGTGACGACTCCTCTTGGGATCACACTGTTCAGGTATCCAGATCGTGTGCAGTCGTGGAAAGAACGTGCTGATTGTTCTCAAAAAGCAACAGGCATGGCTTAAGCTGGACCAGATGGGGCTGGAACCTTCCCAGAGGGAGAAAGAACTAAGCAACGAACCCCAATTTCAGGGGATTTATCTTAGAGTTTGCCAGAGCAAGTCTCAGGCATGCTGCAGAGGTGGGAGGGGATCTTGTGCCTACAGTGAGGGTAGGGGAGTGACAAAAGCGGGGACCTGTGAGCCACAGGAGAGCATAGAGTTCCCAGGAAAAGGAGACAAACGGACAGTGCAAGCAGGCAGTTCTTTTCCAGTAAGACACCAATAAGCTGGAATCCATCCCCAGTGAATGTGACACCAGGGATGTCCTTGACTCTTTTGGCTTTAAATGCATTACATTAGCTTAATCACTTTGTGGGTGTGTTGGCAGAGCCTCAGCCTATTTTAGATGCTGACACATGGTGGCTGAGTAGTTCCCAAATTTCCACACAACTTCTACCACTGCATCTTGGCCAGAGCTTTCCTGAGTGCTGAGAAAATCATCCCAGCTCCCCTCCAGACCCGGAGGGAAGAACGAACCCTGGGCTCTCTTTTGACGCTGAGGTGGTCAGTCCTGTGGTCTGGCTAATTCAAAAGTGCCAGCAGTTAAAATTAATTCTCTCCTGCAGACCACACGCTGGCACTGGATTCCAACCCATGGTTATTTCCGAAACAGATATAGAAAGAAGTCAGGGAAGGGGAAGAATTGTACTGCAATCGCAGGAGGGTAAAGTATTTGAAGAGCCACAACCGCCATTGATATATAAAAAAAGAAAACCCTGGAATGAAACAGCTATTGTTTTAGGGGATGTTTTTTCTTTCTTTCCATTTGTAGTTATTTTGGGTTGCACTGGCAGTTAGATAGAACAATGGACAGTGAGAATTATAAGTCCTCATCTAGAAACCAGATTTTGAGTTGAAATGTGATTTCTCCTTTAGACCAACCCTATTTCCTGGGCCAAAAGAGGAAAACATTAAAGAAAGTCTAAAAACCACAGATAATGAGAACCCAGCGGGTGTCTTTTGACATGCAAAGAGCCCCAGTTAGCTGTTTTAACAAATGACAGTGTACAAACTGAGTCGGTTTCTGGAACTGCTCCCTGCTTGTTTTGTGCTGCCTCCAGAGTAGAATAGATCAAGAGAGTTAGCACAGATTAGATTCTGGAATAAAAAATTCTCTGAGATTACAGATACCCATGCACAGTGATGGAATGTTCTACTGGCTTCTCTACTGTCTGACAGCTGGGCTCACCCGCTGACACACAGGGAAGTTTGCTGGGCTGCCCTGACTTATTTCCAGAGAGTCCATTGAATATACAAACATTATGGGGCTAAGAACGAACCTATCAGTGTGTCGTTGTGGATCTTAAATTATGCTAAACTTCTCCTGGGTTAACAAATACACATCCTTCTGCAAACTTTCAGGAAGCTAATGTCAGCTTCAAAACAGCTGGGTTGATGGAGATATTGGTGCACTTTTTCCCTGGCCTGATTTGTTAGTACAAAGTGAACATGTAACCTTCTGGTGGCCATCTCTAATAGAAACACACCACCAGCCACTCTTTGGTTGGGCGTCTCTCTGGTGAGGATGGTGACTTTTCACTGTGGAATTCATTGCTTCCATTCTTGCCTCTTTCGTCCATTGGGGAAAATCTTCTGATACCTTCCACGATACCAAAGAATTGGAACCACTTCCCAGAGACATCCACAACGATTATACTCTGGCTGGGGTGAAGCAAACAGTTGGGCAAGTTTTCAGCGGTCCAGGTTTGTTTTGCCTTTGGCAGTCAGTGTCTTCCTGTGTCCCATGAAGTGGCTGCTTCCTTCCTCTGTCACCAACCTCAAACTATTTTATATCTGTATCAGTAATCTATTGCTGTATAACGGACAGCCCAAAATCCAGTGGCTCCAAATGACCATGTTATTTTGCTCCTGGTTGTTGGGGTCAGAAATTTGGGCAGAGCTCGGTGGAGACAGCTCAATTCTGTTCCACATGGTAATGGCTGAGATGACGGTTGGGGTCAGAGGATTCAAGATGGCTTCATTCACAAGTCTGGAACCTCAGTTGGCTCTGCTGGCTGGGGTTTGGCTGAGTCTCTCTCTCTCCTTTCATAATTTCTTTTTTTTAAGATTTTATTTATTTATTTGACAGACAGAGATCACAAGTAGGCTGAGAGGCAGGCAGAGAGAGAGAGGTGGAAGCAGGCTCCCCGCTGAGCAGAGAGCCCGATGCGGGGCTCAATCCCAGGACCCTGAGATCATGACCTGAGCCGAAGGCAGAGGCTTTAACCCACTGAGCCACCCAGGGACCCCACCTTTCATAATTTCTTATTCTCCTCACATGGCCTCTCCAATCAGATAACTGGATTTTCATAGATGTCAGCTGTCTTCCTTAGAAGACAGCAAAAGTGGAAGGTGCCAGACTCTTGAAGGGCCCAGACTGGGGACGGGCGTAGCGTTACTTCATGTTCAGTTAGTCAAAGTGAGTCACGAGACTGGTACAGATTCAAAGGGATGAAAATTCGACTCTACCTCTTGGTAGGAGGTGCTGCATGTATATAAGGGGATTATGAGCCACCTTTGCACGAAATTCACCACAATATCCTTTGTTCAAAATTAGTGCTTGGAAGTCATTAATGAAATACATCTTGGAAGATGCCATACAAGATGCTCTACAGAGTAGTTTGAAAAAACTGGCATGATTGTTCATCTGTCAGTTCAGGTACTATTAATAAGGCCAAAATCATAATGCTTCAAATGAGACAGAAGTTCTATTCTTACATAAATATTTGTGCTTAAGCAGCCCTGGGCGGTGTCCTAGGCCCAATTCCTCACTTGCTGTTCAGGCTAAGATGACTGCTCTTGCTCTCCCACACATCCACGTTCAAACCAGGATAGAGGACACAGGAAAAAAGGGAAGGGTATGCTCCGCCCACCCCTTTTAACAGCACAGCCCAGAAACTGCCGGAGTCACTTTTCCTCAGAGCCCATTGGTGGAACGCATCACATGGCCACGCCTAACTTCAAGGGCGGCTGGGAAATGTAGTCTTTATATTCCAGAAGCCGAAAGGTCCAGGCAGTTCTTTTGCTATAAAAGAAGAGGGATCAGAGACAGGGGGAACCACCACCAGTCCCTGCCCCACTGACTGTAGAGGGTGAGACCAAGTTGGCTTGACAGGTCAAGGGATGGAAGAAATGAGAGTAACAGTAGGTAGAAAGCCAGTTTTCTTGGGGTATGTAGGAAGTCAGGAAATGGGCACTGAATGGAGTCTGTGCCTTGTGAGGAGTGGGGGCAGCCCTTGATTTGGGGTAAGAATAGCATCCTGCCTTAGAATGAGGCAGAAAGAAGACCCCCCCCCAGATCATGCAGTCTCAGATACCACTAACTGGCCTATTGTGAATCACCTGTTAATCACACGTCTAGCAGTCATCTCCAAACACAGATCTCCAGTGGAGATCTTCCACTCTTTGAGGAAACATTTTACCATGCAGTTAATTTATAGCCTTAGTTTAAAAGGCTATTTTTTTTTCTTGTTACCTCTTGGCCAGGACATTACCCTTTTGAACTTCTTTCTTATTTCTACTGCCCACCTGGTGAGACGTTTTGAGGATTCCCAAGCTTGCCAGATAAACAGTAGTTGATAGAGTGAAATATATTTGTTTCTGATATCTGTATCTATATCTATATATAAAGAATTTGAGAGAAAACAGGAGTGGGGGGATGAGGGGCAGAGGGAGAGGGAGAAGCAGACTCCCCACTGAGCAGGGAGGCCCACAAGGGGCTAGATCCCAGGACCTGAGCTGAAGGCAGACGCTTAACAGACTGAGCCACCCAAGCGCCCCTTGTTTCCGATATTGCACATGCAGAGAGGTGACTAGAGCACAGGAGAGGGACACAGTTGGTGAGATGTCTTCCCTGAATGCACAGAGGTCAGGGTTTCCACACAATAACTGGCTCTGTGGGCATCCTGACTCAGCAGGGAATTGTAATTATGTTTCTATAGTAACTTTATTCAATTCATTCATGGAAATTTATGATCACTTATAAAAAGCAATGATGGCCATGGCTGGATAATAATAGGCTTAGGTTTCTGGAACATCTGCTGAAGAAGGGCAGGCCAGCTGGTCTCGTCGGCTGAAAGTGAGGGTGCAACCGAACCTGCTTTTCTTGGATTCAGGGCAGAGCTGTAGCAGGTGACCCGAAAAGAATGTCTGTGTTGGAGGACACTATGAGGTCAGCGGCAGGCAGACACACAGAAGTGTTTGGCTTAGTACGAAAATTAAAAAACACGTGATCATATCTTAAAATCCCAGACCACGAGAAATTCCACAAGAGGAAACACTTCCCAGGGTACAAATGAGGATGGTCCTAACAACACTCCGTCCGGTGGGCAGCGGGGAGAACGAAATAGTGCAGGCCGAGTACTCAGCCTGGGGCAGGCAGGCACGATGGTACAGCATATATTAGCTGTTATTTCTAATGATTGATTTTTTTTTCTCCTTGTTTCTACTTTGGAAGAGCATGGATTCTGAAAAACTAGGCCAGTTTCGGCTGATCATTGTTAGGCGGACATAAGGTGGCTTTGGGAAGCTCTGAGAGCCTTCACCCAGATAACCTAATTTGGAGCATGTTAGCTCACAATGTCCGCACGCGTGGTTGGATAGAGAAAACCCAGCACATGATTCAGATGTTTAGCTGCATGATGCAGAGAGTAGGAATATCTCTTCGCTCGGATGGTGTCACCCCAAGAAAATATGGGAACATTGTAATTTTGCATTGAAATCTGTCTCCTGCCCTCAATCTCTCCTCTTTTATTTAAAAAAAAAAATTATATATATATATATGCTTTCCAAGATGAGCATGCCAGCTAGAATTGACCAGCAGGGGGCAGGTGTTGTATACTCATCTTTGTGATTCACACACAGCTGTGAAACAGTCATCTCAATTATATGTGTATGTCTAACGTCCCCTCTTGTCACAAAAATAAAAGGATTATTTTTTAATTTTTTTTAAAGATTTTATTTATTTGACTGACAGAGATCACAAGTAGGCAGAGAGGCAGGCAGAGAGAGAGAAGGGGAAGCAGGCTCCCCGGGGAGCAAAGAGCCTGATGTGGGGCTCGATCCCAGGACTCTAGGATCATGACCTGAGCTGAAGGCAGAGGCTTTAACCCACTGAGCCACCCAGATGCCCCGGATTATTTAAAAAAAAAAAAAAAACTGAGCAAATGAAAATAGACATGTCGAATGCATTTAAAGCATGTTCCATTTCATCAGAACATGTGTGTACTTTATTTATCAATTTTGAGAGGCATATTATGGTACGTTTTAATACCCCTGAAATTGGGACACATCTCACAATGGATTATAACTTAGATGCCATAGTATATGGTAGTGACTCGATTGGGGATTAGCGTATCAAGGTTTGTAAATTCACACTCCGTCCATGCATGGCATAGAATGCATCTGAATTTGGATAGCTGAAGGCAAAACCGTTTAGCAAATTATTCAAAATTTTGGACCCTAAATCAAATGAGAAGTTTTTCAGCAAGATATAGGAGAAAGTATATGAAGACTATACGTGGTGTTTTCATCTCTCAAACTTGTTTGTGATTCAGAACCAAATGATCTTTTATTTTCATTCAGGTTGTAGCATAGCGGCATTTAAATAATTACCAGTTGACAAGGAAAGCAATGCGTATCTAAATGATGACTTGTTAGGCCATCTTTTTTTTTTAAGATTTATTTATTTATTTGAGAGAGAGGGAGAGAGCACACATGAGTTGGAGGGATGGGTAGAGGGAGAGGGAGAAGCAGGCTTCCCGCTGAGCAGGGAGCCTGACAGGGGGCTTGATCCCAGGACTCTGAGATCGTGGCTTGAGCTGAAGGCAGGTGTTGAACGAACTGAGCCACCCGGGCGCCCCCTAGGCCATCTTTCAATACATTCTCTACCTGTTCGGAATCAAGTGGAATTTACAAAAGTCTGAAGCTCCCTCGCCTTCTTGTGACTTCACTTTAGCTATAACAAAATGAAATCCAACCCAGTGAGGATTGACATCTCATTTACTTCTAGCCCTCATTATCAACCCATCCCTGATACTGAGGAAGCAGAAGATCTTTTACCAAGTGGAGACACTACTCGAGAAGCTACTCGGGGGCCCTTTGGAGGGCCAGAGCCAAGGCAAAACTGCTATCCCCAGATACAAAACCATAGGTGTGGTCCTGTGGCAGGTGGAGGGCACAGTGGATCCAGACAGACCACTGTTTGTTGTAAGATACCGAGCAGTTGGGAATGGACATCACCAGAGGAGAGAGAAAGAGAGAGCTTGTTCCAGGAGGAAAGGCTAGGGCTGGGTTATAATCCACACTATCACTGTCTACATGCCTGGCCTTAAATAAATCACTTAAGCTTTCTGAGCCTCAGTTTCCACATCTGTAAAACAGAGCATTGGGTCGTTCCTTGAAACTTCCATCCCATTTACTTTGACCTCACCTGGGGCCATGCTGTCGTCTGCCTCGTGTCCTGTTTTGTGTATGGTGACAATAATCTACCCCAATAGACCGTAAACGCTTGAGCGGCCCATGACACAGCAGTTGGAATGATGCCTTGGATAAGGCAGCCTTCAGTAGAACTATGTTGCCTTGAACTGAATCAAAGTAGAAGACAGCTAAGGTTCCCTTCTCTGATAATCTCTGATGCTGCTTTTAAAGGAGGAGGGATTCCCTGTGCCTGAATGACTTCTAGCTCGGAGGGCTGCAGCACTGTGAAGTCAATAAGCGAAGTCTAGAAGTCCAGGGAGAAGTTTCCAGAGCTAATGAATGACTCCGGAAGCCGCCTTGCACGGCCAGGTTTAGCCATGCATGTAGGAGTTCTCCAGCCATCTTCTGAACTCAGGATGAGAGAAGGGGCAGGATGAATGGAGGAAGAGAAATACAGTGGGGTGAACTTAACCCTTCAAAAAATGGGGAGCGCCTAGAGCTGCGGGCATGTCAGATGCTGGGTGTTGTGCCCCCAGTGGACAAGATATTTCTTGATGATGGTGAGAATCTGGTTATATCTTCAGATATGGAACCTCCTAGAATCAAGTGCCCGAGTGTGAAGGAACGCATCGCTGAACCCAATAAGCTGACAGTCCGGGTATCCTGGGAGACCCCGGAAGGAAGAGACACAGCAGATGGCATCCTAACTGAGTAAGTACAACTGGGCACTGAGGAGGCTGTTGCTTCTTTTCTGAGAGACATTTAACTAGCCAGAGTGGGGAAGTGTATCCGTGTGGGTCCATTTATGCACACAGAGTCACTACGGCGCTCCTTCAATAGGTCCCTCATCCGGGCTGCGTTTTCCTCGTCATCTTCAGCACCTGACCTCCTGTATATTTCACTTCTGTCCTTGTGTCTTGCCTGTCTCCGCTATAGCACATTTACTGCCAGACCCTGAATGCCCAGAACCATGCTGAGCACAGAGCTGGGACTCGGTCAGTATTTGTCAAGGGAGAGAAGGGAAGAAGGGGTGGTGGGAAGAAGAGGGACGGGAGGAGGAAGAGGACACCAACTGGCTCACTCTGGGATAGAACCACCCCCACTGCCTGCCCAGGGTGCTCCTACTGTAGCCCCCAGGCCGTACTAAGCCATCACCTACCTCCCTGGTGTTCTGTGAATATGGTTTAAGGCAGAACTTTCTAGCCCTTGTTTTTTGCAACTGCTTTTTTAAAAACTTGATTTTTAGTCTATTTTTTTAAACTTGGGACCACAACAGGGGTTCCTGGGTGGCACAGTCAGTTGAGCATTCAACTCTTGGTTTATGGCTCAGGTCTTGATCTCAGGGTCATGGGATCGAGCCCACATGTTCCGTGCTCGGTGGGGAGACTGCCCGAGACCCTCTCTCCCTCCACGCCTCCCCCTGCCCACTCTCTCTAGAGTAAGTAAATAAATCTTTAAACTTGTGACTATAGTAAACACTTACAGAAAAAGCTTATAAGAAAAAAGAGAAGCGTTCTTCTGCCTTCTTCCCTACCCCAACCCCACGCCCCAGGAACAGCTCGGTGAATAGTTTGACATACCTCCAGAATGCTTTTAAAAATACATGATTCCCGGGATGCCTGGGTGGCTCAGTGGATTAAGCCTCTGCCTTCAGCTCAGGTCATGATCTCGGGGTCCTGGAATCGAGTCCCGCATTGGGCTCTCTGCTTGGCGGGGAGCCTACTTCCTCCTCTCTAATTGTCTGCCTGCCTCTCTGCCTGCTTGTGATCTCTGTCAAATAAATAAATAAAATCTTTAAAAAAACATGCATGATTCCCTTTGGGAAAGTTTGGCTAAATATTGTTCTAATCTAGCACCTGGGCCTGTACCCCTGCAGCGATCTGCTTGGTTTTCATTGTCCCTAGAGGCCACTATTTCATGTCAGCACGTTCACATCCCTGCCTTCAAGTTCATGGCTCTGTCAGACCAACCCACTTGAGTGTGCACCTGCAGACAAGATACCTCTGATTCGCCGCCTCTGAACTACACAGCAGGGAAGCCCTTGTTAGAATCCAACCTAGGCAATTATGGGTAATAAGAAAACATCTTTTACAAGGAAGATGTTGAGTCTTTCACCCTGAGCAAGACATTTTGTTCCTACATCCTGATCATTTCTCCCAGTACACCATTTAGCTTAAATAATCTTACTAGCTGTGTGCCTCCTTGTAACTCCTTAAAGTTTTGAGTATTAAGAAAATTATATATTTGCTGTCACATCTACATGTCACAAACCTCTAAGGAGAAATTTTAGGCAATTGGGATTAAAGAGTAAGTCACAGTTGGTATAAACAGGGGTTGGTTTTTATTGATCTTGGAACTTTGGGGCCTAGAACAATGCCTGGTCTAGGCCCTAGCCCATAATAGGTTCTGAGATCTTGACAACCGCAGTTGCTGTTGAAATCCTGCATAATAAACACCAAGTAATGGGTCACCAGATGACTGTGTTTGTCTAGCACGGATATAGACTTTGGCATCTTTATGGGTCGCCTGTGTGTTATGGTTAGAAATGTGACTGTTTCAAAGACCATCTTAGTAGCCCCCAGCCTTCCGTTCCAAGCAGCTGTCTGCTTCTAGACTTCTATAGCCCGAACCAGCAGAGGCTTGGAGCAGGAGGCTGCGGGGAGCACACTCCAGACAGAATGAGGAATTCTGAGAAGGCTGTCTCGTCACCTTTTCAGCTCTCACTTGGGCTCCTTGCTTCTCCGGCATGTCTCTCATACAAGCTACTGTTCTATGGTCCCCTTCTGAGAGGGAAGGTTCTAGAGAGCAAGTGCCTCTCCAAAGCAGGTGCTTCCTATGAGTTCCCTTAGTTACTCCTCATGACTGTTATTTGCAGGCCACAGATGAAACGGAGTCCCTGAGAGGTCAGCAGCCACCCATATTTGAAGCCTGATTCCTCTCGGGGTTATCTGTATTTGAACCACGCTTCAGTTCATACCTTACAAACACACACCCTATCCACCTCTGTGGAAGCCTCTGGCACACATTCGTTCTTAGCAAATATTCTCATAGTTGCTAAGAACTGTAGTGAGAAGGCAAAGTAAGTATCTGTTGGGAAACCAACCCATCAGCCTGGTAGTCGATCATGCTGTCTGAAACTACTGGTGTTCTCATCAGACAGCCAAGAAGAAAGATGCTAGTCACCCTAGCCGTGTGATCTTGGGCAAATTTCCTAAGCTTTTGGTGCCTCAGTTTCTCTGTGAAATGGAAATAATAATTCCTATCTCATGGAGTTGTGGGGAGGATTAAAGAAACCAGTATGTGTAAAATACCTAGAACCATGCCTAAAATATGTATATAGTGTTTATGTACGTGCAAAGAACTATTACTAGTACTACTACTACTACATTAGGATAATCAAGGAATCACAATAAACTTGCCTTTTGCTCAGGAAAGATCTCCACACTGGGCCAGAGAGAAAAAACTAGAGCTAATTCTAACACCCCCCCTGTAAACCCAAATTGCCAATGGCTGCTTGGACTATACCCTCAAATGGTTTTCCTCATAGAAAATTTGTTCATCCTCCCCAAAGTAAGGCAGTTTACGGTTCTCCTTGGAACAAAGTTGGGATGGGAAGAAGACTTGGGACCCTGGGTTCTCAGCCTCTGCCATCTTCTCTTCTATCCTCCCGTGAGAAAAATGGATCCATACTTTCCAGGAATTGGGGACTTCCATGTTCTGGTATCAGACTGCTCTTCCAAAGCAGAATAAAGCTCAGGAAAAGCTGTGTTCTTCAAGAAATCTTTGTTCTAGTCAAACTGACCTAAAGGCTGCCCCTCAGTATCTCCACATCCAGTCAGTGCCCATGAGGACCTAATTGTTGTTAGGCCTTTAATGACCATCTTTGGTGTTCCTGTTTTTTTCTCCCCCTTTTAAGTGTTATTCTAAAAGGCCTCCCCCCAGGCTCAAATTTTCCAGAAGGAGACCACAAGATCCAGTACACAGTCTATGACAGAGCTGAGAACAAGGGCACTTGCAAATTTCGAGTTAAAGTACGAGGTAAGAATACTGCTTCTTGGCTTTTTCCTCTCTTTACAAGAGCAAAAGGAAATCCGCCCTCCAGCAGGAACCCTTTGTGAGTGCTCACTGCCACGGGGATACTTACAAGCTTTGGATTAGCCTCTGATGACGAGGCGAGGAGAAGGGTGCCATCTTAAAGCCTGAATTTCACAATACAAATCCGGATGAGGTTCAGTGCTGTTAGATTATTTGAGGCCTGAGAGACTAGTAAGCTAGTCTTGCAGGAGCCCACAGCTGGCTATCCCAGAAGAATATTATTTTGATAACATTTTCCTCCCTGGGCTTGGGTGACCAGCTAAAGCCTGAAAGTCCTTCTGTAAAGGAGGTTGAGAGCCCCCTAATTTGGGCCACCAGGAGCCCATGTTCTTGGTGTTCCAGAATATTTATTCTCCCTGAAAAAAATACTTTGAAGATTTATTTTATGCCTCATGGTTTGGGCAGCTAATGACGAACCCTCTTTACTCTTCTGGGCTCAGCCTCCTCCTCCGTAACACAGGAGGCTAAAGCGCTTGATCTCAGTGGTCTCGTTGCCATGAACGGTGACCATTCCAAGGCCCACCCACTAGCCAGAGAGTCCTACCTGCCCCCTCACTCATTCACAGGCCGGTATAGAAGTGCGATTGCCCAGCTGCCGCCTTCCCTGGGGCCTCTGTGGAGGGGAGCTCGGCACTGAGCCTCCCCTGGCCTTGTGTCCCTACAGTCCGACGCTGTGGAAAACTCAACGCCCCGGAGAATGGTTACATGAAGTGCTCCAGTGACGGCGACAATTACGGGGCAACCTGTGAGTTCTCCTGCATCGGTGGCTATGAGCTGCAGGGCAGCCCTGCCCGAGTCTGTCAGTCCAACCTGGCCTGGTCTGGCACGGAGCCCACGTGTGCAGGTACGCGTGCAGCCCTCTCTCCCGCCAGCAGCCAAACCTGAAGACCCTTGGGTTCTGGATTCCAGTAGAGGGAGGGAGGATTTCACTCCATACACTTCGAGAGGTTCAGTGTCATCCCTCTTCATCGGACGGGTGAACACGGTCCTCAGATTTCGAGGGCAGCTGTCTCACCCACCCTCCTCCTTGGCTTCTGTCCATCTTCGAGTTTCTCTTTCACGTCCTCTAAGGAAGAAGCTGGAGGCGGGAGCCCAGGGCCCGCTGTTCGTGACTTTGTGAATCAACAGAATCTGCTTTAGGTACCTGTGTTCTTCCCTTCTACAAATGGAAGGATCTTTTTTTATTATTATTTTATGCAAAGCCAGGACACTACTATGTATGGACAATATAATTCCTGCTTTGCAGCACTGGTTTGAAAGTCACTCAGACCTTGAGCATTCGGGACATTTCCTCCTAATGCAAAATGAGCAAGATAATATCTACTACTTGAGTTGTTGTAAGGGTTAAATGAGGTTATAGCCACTCAACAGTGGGATAGAGCAGTGCCTGGCCTGGGGCAGGCACTCAGTGCACGTCCACTCTTAATACCAAGGAACATAAATTGGGCTGCGTAGTGATCATGGTGTGAAATTTGGACTAGTCAGAAAATTGTGGACATATCTTTTATTTATATACTCTACTTTCCCCCTTATTTCGGGGTACTTTCTCATCTTTATGCTTTCCTTTAATCCCAGCCATGCAGGAGAGAGAGACACACACATGTAGACCATCAGCTAAATGCCCAAGGATCTTCAGTTTCATACCTTAAAGTAGAAAGAACATACCTCTTTCTTTCCCTGTCTCACTTCCTGAGGCAGGGAAAGTAATGCCCATTCCCCCACCACCTCACCCCCCAGCCCAAAGATGTTCACATCCTAATCCCTGGAACCCATGAATATATTACCTGACATGGCAAAAGGGACTTTGCAGAGGAAATTAAGTAAGAATCTTGAGATGCGGAGGCCATCTTGGATTCTCCAGGTGGGCCCAGTGTACGCACAAGTGTCCTTATAAAAGGGAGGCGGAGGGGGAGAGAGAGAGAGAGGGGCAAAGACGCCAGACTAGTGACTTCGAAGATGCCAAGAAAGGCCTCACCCCAGGAGACGGAGGTGACCTGTGAATGTTGCAAAAGGCAAGGAAACAGATTCTTCCCTAGAGCCTCGGTGGGGGGAGCAACATTTTGACTTCGGCCCAGTGACACCCATTTGAAACTTCTGACTGCCGGGGCTGTAGGAGAATTTGTGCCTGTTAAGCCCCTAAATTTATCATGATCTGTGAGAGCAGCAAGAGGAAACCAGTATAGTTCCCCATTCCCCAACCCAGCGCTTCTTGGGACCATCTCCTAAATAAACCACTTATAACTGGGGTGCCTAGGTGGCTCGTCGGTTCCATGGCCTGCTCTTGATTTCACCACCGGTCATTATCTCATGGTCGTGGGATCGAGCCCCGCCTCGGGCTCTGTGCTCAGTGAGAAGTCCTCCTGAGAGTCTCTGTCACTGCCCCCCACCTCTCCTTTTGCCTCTTCACCTCACTGGCACGAGCACACGCTCTCTAATTCTTTTAAAACAAAAATAACTGGAACTTTGTCTTGGGGTTTACTTGTGCATTTGTGTATGGTCTGGGTGTCATCCCAGGCCATGTTGAGCCAGAATAAGTAGGGGGTTTCTCATCCATCTGGCCCTTTCTAATCCCAGCCATGAATGTCAACGTGGGCGTCAGAACAGCAGCGGCACTTCTGGATCAGTTTTATGAGAAAAGGAGACTCCTCATTGTGTCTGCCCCCACAGCCCGGAACCTTCTCTACAGGCTGCAGCTGGGAATGCTGCAGGTGAGTCCTTACGGCCAGGCCCGGGTGTGGAGGGGTGGGGGTAGAGCTCTCCCAGGAAGGGCCCGGTGATTTCATTAAAGGCCAAGGTCAGATTCAGGGCCTTGGCTATTTTCCAGGACCTCGGGGAACTGGCGCTTTAGGCCTGCCGCCGTTCATTTCTGGCTCTAGGGCATAACCTGATGAACAATGGAGTCCCCAGTGCTAACCCAGTTGTTGTGCAACTAATAGGGTTTCTTTGTCTTGACCCATAAGCCCGATCGACCTGCTGCCCAGGGCCAGCCAAAGAGTCTTTTTTGGTGGACCTGTCCGGGATATGCCTATGCTGGAGGCCGTCATTCTGTTGTTTGCCCAAGAGGCTGGCTCAAGGGATGAGGGGAGTCCAGGGGCCTTCAGGCCCCAGATCCTGCCCCAGGGAGCTTCCCTCACCACAACCCCCCACCCCCAGCTCCTCCCAGAGTGACAGCTGTCTGTAAGAACAGTGGTTCTCAAAGTGTGGTCATCAACATCACCTGCGAGCTTGTTAGAAATGCAGAGTCTCCCCCATCTCAGACCGATGGGGTCTAATTTACTTTTTAACAAGACCTCCGGGTGATTCCTGAGCAACTGAACGTTTGAAGCACACTTTTCTAGGAAATGTGCCCTTCTCGGCTGTGTAAATTTTATAACTACAAAACGAGGCAACCAGAGTCTTTTGGGGGGGAAAATTAGAAACCGAAAGGCTCAAACGAGAGCTTGCTAGATTTTGTCCAGAAGCTGGTTTGCGGTAATAGCAGCTGACCATGAACGAATGCGGAAGAGTCAGGATGTTCTGCTGGGTCGTGGGCACCATGATGCACACTTTTTGGAAAAAAAAAAAATTCATTTACTACAGTGAATAAAAATAAGACTAAGTGTTCAAAACAGTCTTGGTTGATGGGTACCTGGGTGGCTCAGTCGGTTGAGTGTCTGATGCTTTCAGCTCAGGTCATGATCTCAGGGCCGTGAGATCCAGCCCCACTTTGAACCCTGAGTCGGGCTCAGTGCAGGGTCTGCTGGGGATTCTCCTCCTCTTCCCCTTGCCCTGCTCATGTGCTCTCACTAGCTCGCTCGCTCGCGTGCTCTCTCTCAATAAAATCTAAAAAAAAAAAAAAAAAAAAAAAAAACCCAAAACCCTAATTTTGGTTTAATAGTTTACAGCTTTCTTCTCATCTCAGCATTTATACAATGAATAAGGAGGAGTCTTTGTTCCTTCTTCCCATGTACTCGAAAGGTGCCCATAAACTCAGAAGAACCATGTAAAGTTTTTTTTTTTTTTTCCCTTCAACGGAAACTCAGTTCATTACATTTTTACTCCCAATCCCTGCCACCTTCCCTGCCTCCCTCCATCTTTGTATCGCCCTGTCCCAGCTGGGACTTCTCTTCAGGTGTCACAAGGCTGCACGACTCCATTGTGGAGGAGATTGGCCTCGCAGGCTACACAAGCACATGTTTCCTCATTTCTTCTTCATTTTGTAGAAAAATGAATAAGCCAGGCAACTTGCTTTTCCTCTGTTGGCAAGCTTTTCCTCTGGGTTGCTTTTCCTCTGTGCTTTTGGAAGTGAAATTTGATGGGAACACGGCCCTACTTGTTCATTTGTGTGTGGTCTGTGGGTGGTCTTGCGCTCCGGCGGTATGGCTGACTAGGAAGGAGACTATCCAACCCTGGGAAGCCTAAAATAGTCACTACCTGGCCCCTTATCAAAAAATGTGTGCTGTCCCCTGCCCTAGTCTATCCCATCTTTTCAGGTACTTGCTAAATTATAAATTAAATCATGCTGATGTTGGTAGGCAGAGTCCAAAGGCTTAGAATGGGGTCCCTGAGGACCAGCCACGAGGGTCCCTGTCTGCACCGGGATAGAAATCAGACGCAAGCCAGCAGTGAAAGTGGAGTTGATGGAAGGTATGGAGAGAATGCAGGTAGAGAGCGTCCAGGGAAACTCCGAAAGGGAAGGAGAGAGTGCCTTTGTTCAGGGTCTGGGGTCTGGGATGTTATTGAGGATCGTGGTCTGGGGTACATGTCCTCTCAGACATCCGGGAACCAGTTAGAATGAAGACGAGGACCCACATGTCCGACCTTAGAGCTGGCAGGGGCGGGGGGGGGGGGGGGGGGGGGGCGGTGTTGGTTTTGAAGAGGCCTAGTGTCATTGGTCTGTGCATCTGATGACTTCCTCTGGTCATTCTCACCTGGTCCTTCCTTAGATGTCATCTGTTTGAAAGAAGTCATTAACACCTTGTCCTTTCCTTTTTTTAAATTGAGGTATCACTGGAGCACCTGGGTGGCTGAGTCCGTTAGGCATCTGACTCTTGGTTTCAGCTCAGGTCATGATCTCAGCGTTCTGAGATTGAGCCCTGCACAGGGTCCGAGATTCTCTCCTTCTCCTCCTCTCCCACTCACTGGGTCATGCTCTCTCTCTAAGATAAAATCTTTAAAATAAAAAAAATTTTAAAATGAAGTATCATGGACCTGTAACATTAGTTTTAGTTCTATGGCACCATGAGTCAATATTGATATAGATTACGAAATGATGGTCACAGTATCCCAGTTAACATCTGTCACCAAACCTAGATATAAATTTTTTTATGAGAACTTTCAAGATCTACTTTCCTAACTACTTTCAAATAGACGATAAAGTATCATTAACGACAGTCACTCTGCTGTACATTATGTGCTTGGGACTTTTTATTTTATAATTTGAAGCTTGTACCTTTTGGCCCTCTTTACCCACTTCACCCATCTTCCCACCCCTGCCTCATGAAAACACCAGTCTGTTTGCTATATACAGGAGATCGCTTTTTATTTTTTTGTCCTCTTTTTCAGTTCTTGGAGATTCCACATATAAGTAAGCTCATACGGTATTTATGTTTTTCTGTCTGATTTATTTCACTAAGTGTAATGACCTCAGTGACCATCCATGGCATTGGAAATGGGAAGATCTCATTCTTTTCTATGACTCTGCAATATTCCATTGTGTACATATAGCACATTTTCTTTATCCACTCATCCATTGATGGAAAATTAAGTTGTTTCCAGGTCTTGGATATTGTAAATAATGCTACGGTGAACATGGAGGTGCAGGTATCTTTTGATAGGGTTTTGTTTTCTTCAGACAAATATCCAGAAGTGGAATTGATAGATCAGATGGCAATTCTATTTTTAGCTTTTTGAGGAACTTCCCTGCTGTTTTCCACAGTACCTGCGCCACCTTCCCACCCACAGTGCACAAGGGTTCCCTTTCCTCCACATCCTTGCCAACACTTGCTTCTTGCATTTTTGATTTTGGCCATTCTGACAGGTGTGAGGTGATATCTCATTGTGGTTTTGATTTGCATTTCTCTGATGATCAGTCATGTTGAGCATCTCTTCATGTACCTGTTGGCCATCTGGATGACTTCCTTGGGAAAACATCTGTTCATGTCTTCTGCCCATTTTTCAGTTGGATTTTTGTTGTTTTGTTATTGAGTTGTATGAGCTCTTTATATATTTTGGATATTAACCCCGATCAGATAAATGATTTGTAAGTATTTTCTCTCATTCGGTAGGTTCCATGTTCATTTTGTGGATGGATTCCTTTGCTGTGCAGAGCTTTTTAGTTTGATATATTCTTACTAGTTTGTTTTTGTTTCCTTTTTAAAAATTTTAATTGTAATATAATTAGCATATGGTGTTATGTTTTAGGTATACAATATAGTGATTTAACAATTATATACATTACTCAATGCTCATCCAGATAAGTGTATCCTTTAATCCCCATCAACTATTTTACCTGTCCCCCTATTGACCTACCTCCCCCGACCTCCCCCCACCAAGCCCTATAACCATCACTTCTCTGTAGTTAAGCATCTGTTTCTTGGTTTGTCTCTTTTTTCTTTGTTTTGGTTCTTAAATTCACATATAAGTGAAATCACATGGTATTTGTCACTCTCTGACTTATTTCACCTCGAGGATTATACCCTTTAGATTCATCCATGTTGTCACAAATGGCAAGATTTCATTCTTTTTTATGGCTGAGTAATATCCCATTGTGTGTGTGTGTGTGTGCGCGCGCGTGTGTACAACATCTTTATTTTCCATTCATGTATTGGTGGACACTTGGTGTGCTTCCAGAGTTCGGCCATTGTATATAATGCTGCAGTAGACATGGGGGTGCATATATCCTTTTGAATTAGCATTTTCATATTCCTTAGGTAAATACCTGGTAGTGAAATTACTGGATTGTATGGTAATTCTGTTTTTTAACTTTTCGAGAAAATACTGTTTTCCACAGTGGCTGTACCAGTGTGCATCACTACCAATAGTGCACAAGGGTTCCTTTTTCTCCACATCCTCACCAATACTTTTTCTTTTTTGTGTTTTTGATTTTAGCCATTCTGACAAGTATGAGGTGGTATCTCATTGTGGTTTTAATTTGTATTTCCCAGATGAGTGATGTTGAGCATCTTTTCATGTGTCTCTTGGCCATCTGTATTTCTTCTTTGGAAAAATTTCTGTTCATCTCTTCTGCCCATTTTAATTGGACTATTTGGTTTTTTGGGAGTTGAGTTCTATAAGTTCTTTACATATTTTGGCTACTAAGCCTGTATTGGCTATGTCATTTGCCAATGACGTTCTGTAGGTTGCCTTTTAGTTTTGTTGATGGTTTCCTTTGCTGTCCAGAAGAAGCTTTTTATTTTGGTGTGGTCCCAAAAGTTTATTTTCGCTTTTGTTTCCCTTGCCTTGGGAGACTTATCTAGAAAGATGGTGTTATGGCCAGTGTTAGAGAAATTACTGCCTGTGTTCTCTTCCAGGATTTTTATGGTTTCAGGTCTCCCATTTAGGTCTTTCATCCATTTCAAATGTATTTTTCTATATGGTTTAAGAAAGAGGTCCAGTTTCATTCTTTTGCATGTGGCTGTCCAGTTTTCCCAATACCCCTTGTTGAAGAGACTATTTTCCCATTGCATAGTCTTGCCTCCTTTGTCAAGGATTAATTGACCATATAATT